CAATCAAAACAACAAAAATAAATGGGACTTGATTAAATTAAAAAGCTTCTGCACAGCTAAGGAAATGATCAACGGAGCAAATAGACAACCAACAGAATGGGAAAAAATATTTGCAAGCTTATGTATCCAATAAAGGGCTAATAACCAGAATCTACAAAGAACTCAAGCAAATTAGTAAGAAAAAAAACAAGCAACCCCATTAAAAAGGGAGCAAAAGAACAAAAGCTTTTCAAAAGAAGATAGACAAATGGCCAGTAAACATGAAAAAATGCTCAGTGTCACTAATCATCAGGGAAATGCAAATTAAAACCACAATGAGATATTACCTTACCCTTGTTAGAATGGCTTTTATTAAAAAGTCCAAAAACAATAGATGCTGTCATGGATGCAGAGAGAAAGGAACACTTATACACTGTTGGTGGGACTGAAAATTATATAATAGTACAACTTCTGTGCAAAACAGTATGGAGATTCCTCAAAGAACTGAAAATAGACCTATCATTTGATCCACCAGTCCCACTACTGGGTATTCATACAAATGAAAAGAAGTCATTTTTTCAAAAAGACACCGGCACTGGCTTATTGCAGCACAATTCACAATTGCAAAAATGTAGAATCAGCCCAAGTGCCCCTCAATTCATGAGTGGATTAACAAAATGTGGTATATGTATACTGTGGAATACTACTGAGCCATGAAGAAGGATGACTTAATGCCTTTTACAACAGTTTGGGTGGAATTGGAGACCATTATCCTAAGTGAAGTATCTAAAAAATGGAAAAACAAACACCACATGTACTTGCTATTAAACTGATGAGCATACATGTGCACAAAGGGAAGTAAAACTCAGTGGAAATCAAGCAGGGAGGGGGAGGGGAGAGGAAGGGATGGGTGAAAATCTGCCTAATGGGTACAGCGAACACTATCTGCTGTTGGGCACACCAATAACCCCGACTCAAGCATAACAAAGTGATCCATGTAATCAAAAACATTTGCACTCCTGTGATATTTTGAAATTATAAAAAAAAAAATCTTCAAATATAGCTACGTGCCTTAAAAAGTGTGTGTGTGCACATACACACACACACAAATATGGATGAAAATAACGTCCATTGACATTGTATTTACTAAGTAAACCAGTGAAACTGCTGAAGTACTTTATCAGATATTCGCCACTTGTATTTGAAGATGATACCTGACAAGTACATAGCACTTGAAGTTTTATAGCTTCTTTCATATATGTTGTTCATATTTTATAATTTGTTTACAACTATCCTAGACATAGATTATGATTCCCATTTTACTAATAAGAAAATTACAATTTAGCTTCAGTGACCTGCTAAGGTGTAGTGATATTGGAGTTCACATCCGAGCGTCTGATTCTGAACTTCCGATTCTAAGTCTTGTGCTTTTTCTGCTGGACTGTAAACTTCTAATGGTTTTAACAGAATTAAAATGGTTTCAGATTTTGGTGTGAATACTTAAGCATCTGGATATTTGTAGATTCATGTGTTTATATGCAAATGCATCAGTGTTCACGTACATTTGAGTTCAGATAACTGCTGCCCTGTTCCTTAATCCAGAGTTAAACTCAGTTTTCATCAAGTTATCACACTTTATAAACTTTTCATATGTGAAATCCAAATAAAAAAGATGGTGAACTTTTATAAAAATCTCTCATGTTATCTAAATATCTTTATTTTAACTTACTTAAAAGTACTTTGAGAGTTTAATCATTGCCTTTTATTTTTTCCTACTTTTTCCTATTATTTCCTATTTTTTCCATAGGAAAAATACATTTTACATTTCAAGTGTACACAATGTTTTCATTCCTTAACCTGGTATCTTTTATAGTTTATCCTGTGATCTACATTAATAAATAAACATTTCATGAAACCATAACACCCTAACTACCTGTGATATACTCAGATATTTTTTATTCAATTCTATTTTATTTTTTAAAATGCCAAGAAATCTTAGTTCAACAGTGATATGTTCATTTCCTTTCATTGGGGCAGAAGAAATAACTTATTGGCATTCCTTATTCTTAAGACAATTTAGAAATTGAATTATCAGAATTAAATAAAGCATTTCAAAAAGCAGTTGCTCCTGAATCTGTAAATCTAATAAGACCTAGTTTAAAAAAAGTTTTGATTTATAGGTTGTGGTAAGAAAACCTTTATACGTTGAGGTTTGATACACCATAGGATAAGGGAATAAATACAGTGTTGCTTTTTTTCTTGAAGTTTTTTTCAAAT